AAGTTTATCTGCGAATCCTATTTATGAATACATTCATAAGTGTATACATATATTGCTTTTCTCAGGTTTGTTCTCTGATGTTTTGTATAGCGTTGTCAATTAGATGATTAAAAGGCTTGTATATTTTTGGTGCCAGATATACTGGTTTTAAGGTGCTCAAGGTGCGTGCTAGAGGTGGAATGCCAGTTGCATTTGCTGATTTTGAGGTATCCAATACTACTATTACAGCAGCCATAGGTGTTACGCAGTAGGACTTCTAATAACTAATATGGGTAATTACATGAATAACCCTTGGGTTTTATACATTTAACAAATTTTGGGGGTTTTAATTTTTTCAATTTAAACCTTGAACTTTTTAAGCTAGTCTCAATGCAAATCATCCGTTCTTTTCCATTTATTATAGCCACTAATGAAAGAGGGATAATTTTGTCAATTTACCCATCTTCTTTATCCCTTCTTTTCTCTTGGCAACCTAGGTCCATCACCATCCACCCATTCATCGCGAACACACTGCAACGCCCAACATTTTCCCCACCATCCACAACCCCCACCTGTTCCCCACCACACACTACCACCCCTTTTGCCACAACTGCTGCCACCTCCACCGCTCATCGCTTTCCCATCACACGTAGTCACCCACCACAGCTATGCTCTCCTAAACTTAAACTGATTCCACGAGACCCAATCAATTAGGAGATCATAACACGATCATGATCACACCTAGCAAAACCCACATAGCCAAACCTAAAACCCAAGAAAGACTGGTTCCTATTGACAACGATATGGGTGCGCCTCTATGGCTGTACCACCCAACTCCAATTTATTTGGAAGCAAGTTTCTCTGTTCTCACCCCTTTCTATACAAATTTATATTTGTTGGATATATTCAATGGGAAACACGAGGTGGTGATGGTGGGAGGTGGGTTGGTAGAGAGAGGTGGAGTGCTCATGGTAGTGGCGATGGAAGGTGTCATGAGGGGGGTGAGGTGGGTTTTTAGAGACAAGTGTGGTGGGGGAAGCGGCAAGGGAAGGAAGGGGTGGTTGTGGGTGGTGGCCGTGCCACCATCAACTGGGTTTGGGGCTTACAGGGCATGCGAATAAGAGATGGAGAATGAGAGGTAGAATGACAACCATGGTGGTGGGATTGCTCTTATAGGCATAAGAGAGAGGGAGGAGGGGACAAGAAAGAAAAAGAGAGGAATCATAAGCTGAGTAAATTGACAAAATTATCCAGAAGTATGAGTAAAATGAGTAAACTGATAGATATGGACTGTGGAGGGTTGTGATTGTCATCAAGTTGAAAGCTTAGGGTTTAAATTGAAGGGTTAAAATGTTATAGGGATAACACCTTTTGGTTATTTATCTAATTTCCCCGAACTCATAACCATATCATTCCTTCCCATTTTTTAAAAATCAGGGCATCATTTGTCACCCAACGCTTTTAATATTAGCATATTATAAAACCTTAGAAAGATAACATCTTGTGTTTGAGAGAACACTTTCTTTATTGGGTTTACAGTAACAAGCAATGGGCTTCTTTGTTGAGTTGAATGCAAAGGCAACCCCTATACTTGAACTTCATTACATCAAATGAAATGTTAATGGTGAGCAATTATTCACCACCACCAACAGCAGTGAAGTGGTCATGCCACAAACTCATCCCAGCCATTGATTTGTGTGGGTCTCAAACAGTAATGGCACGGCCATGTGTCATGGGCTGGCTCTTTCTAGAAGCACAGCGGAACATTTAGGCGCTTGAACTCAACCAAGTGTCAAGCCCGCCCAAACTCTTCTTCACCATCCAGTGTTGAAACTTAACCCGTCATGTCAAATGCAAGCCTAATGCTATGTCTAGCACGAACAATTCCCACAAGGAAGCTCTGGCTTCCATGCCACAAGTAGGATAAATGCCCGCAAGTGCATCTCACGCAGCTCATGTTGCTTCATGGTGCCAAATTTGCCCTTGAGCAAGGCGCTCGCCCAACTGAGGTCTAACTCAATCAAGGCGTCTTGCGCCAGCATGACTCACAACTGACCCAACACAGTGTTACCCAATTGTGCACCGATCTAGAACTCTCAATTTAGTTGACAAGCTTTTCCTCTCTTGAATAGGGTCTCTTGTTGCGCCCGTCTCAAATAGTTCGCATGTGCCCACAACTCAAATCCTCATGCATGCATTGACGTGCTAAACTAGCCACCAAGAGTCATTGCGCACGCGAGGCATTGCACTAACGTGTAGCATGTGCATGACAACAAATGTCAGTAGCCCCCGATTAGCATTCCGCCTTCCCACAAGCTCTGCACAATGTGTCTTGCATGATGGCAATGCTTCATGACATTCAAATATTAGAATTTACGGAAATGCCACCAAGGCATGCTTGACACCCACTAGTGTGCAAGCATGGGCGGGTGGGTGTGCGTGCAAAGGCGCAGGGCGTGCATTGGACTACTTGGAGCCAACACACCATGTTGGGGTGCCATGCCACTTGCAAGAGTTGCGAGCTGAAGAACTGTTAGCTCGTGACACCATGCCACAAGTTCATCTCTGTGGCATGGGATTATTTTGCGTTAATGAATGTCAAAATCTCATCTAAATGTTTTTATCTTGTCAGGATGTTGAACAAGCTACCATTGCCATGGGTGCTCTTCAAGGAAGCTCGATACCATCATCAGATCGGGGAGGGATGCACATAGAGTAGCATTTTTCAACTTTCCTCGTGCCTTTTATTATGATTTCTGAGTACTTGTATTTTTTTATTTTTATTTGTTAACTTTATTGCTTGGTGCTCTTCAGGTATGCAAGGTCTAAAATGAGGAAGTCGTAGTAGAAAAGTAAAGAGAGCCTTCCACCAAATCCTCCACTGTTTCCTACTTGGAGTTCAGAGATGTAATGTAATTTTGTTTCTTAGACATGATGATTTAGATGCCCTGCACTGTAAGATAAGGAAACATTGCTTGATTTCAGAGTTTATTGATATAAATCTGTAGTGGTTAGGGCATTGTAACTTTAACATCAATCACTCTGTAGTTTCAATTTTGCAAATTGTTGCCTTGAATTATTTCATTGATTGTCTTCTTTTACCTACTGAAAAATTAAGCATGTACTAAGAAATAATTTGGTTTACAGCCCTCTCTGTACTTTCAAATTGAACTGGCAAGGGATGCACACCAATGCGCGTGCTACGAGCTATAGTTTATGAATAAAGAAGATGAATAGAAATTGGCAGGGATAGTTTGAAACTAAAAGTTCTAGAAGGGTAATTTAGTAGTTAGAATTGTTGTGATTAAACTTTTCATGCCAAGTGACTTGAAGACTTTATATAATAGTATAGATGTGTAATTTCTATTGTAAGGTATTAGGCTTTTTATTCTACATTGACTAGCTAAACTTTGTATTATATTTTAGCATTGTCAAAATGTGTTGAATTTGGTACAAGGTTTAACTATAGATTTTGTTTTTGGCAAAAATATAAGAACTTCAATATAATAGAAAAGAAAGCATACATGGGAATTCAACATAACAAAGGTTTAACTATAGTTAAAATTTGACAGTCCTTTTTGTTTTTACATCTTTGTGATTTTCTTTTTTTAATTTTATTTTTTATTTTTTATTTTCTTGAGGAAAGACATTTTTGTGATCGGATCCACATATAGTATTTTTATTTTGCATTTTGTGAGAAGAAAAAAATGGAGAAAAAATAGCATTTACACCATTGGATTGATATTTGCTAAGTTGTGATTAAACTTTTCATGCCAAGTGACTTGAAGACTTTATATAATAGTATAGATGTGTAATTTCTATTGTAAGGTAAAAGGCTTTTTATTCTACATTGACTAGCTAAACTTTGTATTATATTTTAGCATTGTCAAAATGTGTTAAATTTGGTACAAGGTTTAACTATAGATTTTGTTTTTGGCAAAAATATAAGAACTTCAATATAATAGAAAAGAAAGCATACATGGGAATTCAAAATAACAAAGGTTTAACTATAGTTAAAATTTGACAGTCCTTTTTGTTTTTACATCTTTGTGATTTTTTTTTTTAATTTAATTTTCTTGAGGAAAGACATTTTTGTGATCAGATCCACATATATTATTTTTATTTTGCATTTTGTGAGAAGAAAAAAATGAAGAAAAAATAGCATTTACACCATTGGATTGATGTTTGCTAAAAAAATAGTATTTTAAAACTCTTCATTGGTAAAATATATCAATAATTAGCCATTTAGTAATTGAGCCCTTAGAGATGCTCCAACAGAACTAAAATTCTGGTTATACGTTCAATCAAACGGATAATGTGCAATTTGGTAGCTTAGAACTCTTTTAAAGGGGTAAATTACAAATACACTTCCTGAAATTTATTTAAAGTACAGATTGTCTCTTATAGATTTGAAAATTACAAATATCCTTTTATCATAATTTTTTTATTTAACAGAATTAATTAAAAAAAAAGAAATTCATAATTACTCTCTAATACAATAATAAAATTACATAAATTATTAATTGAAACATATTTATAATATCATTAAAAACTATTAATTAACTTCATAATTTATTAATAAAAAGGATAATTCGTTACGAAATTAAAAATCTCAATGGGTAGAATGTAATTTCTAAAATTACAGGGAACGATTCGTATTTTAATCAAACTTCAAGAGATATATTTGTAATTTATTCTTTTTAAAGGGATTTTTCAAATTTTTTTCCCCCTCTCTAATATATAATACTTGCTAGTATAAAAACAAACAAAAAAAGAGGTTCAATTTGATCACATTAAACGTACAATTAGACAGAGAAGTGATAGTTGCAAGAAGTATGCAAAAACATTAGGAGAGGTTAAAAAGCATTTTATTGATGATTTCACCATTCTAGAGGGAGATTGGGAAGACTACAAAGGCAAGTGATCAAGCACCATCATTAACCTATATATTCATTCCTATGCTGTTATGACAGCTACCTAGCTAGAATCTTCGAACATGAAGAAACAAAACCCACAAAGAATAAACCGAAAACACATAGATGCACCCAAGTTCTGACCTTGTCAGTTGGGATCAATCTACTTCATTTCCAAAGTGTAAACTACAAAACCCTCCTTTTTCTAATTCCCTTATATATATACTATACAAAAACAAAATCATGATAGCATTAGACCCAAAAAAAAAAAGAAATGAAAAAAGAAGTGAAATACAATGTACTTCAGCATATCTATCATTCATGCCATTGCAGTTGGAGAGTGAAAGAGGTCTTTACTAGTCATCCTCCTCACCTGACATCCTCCAGGCATTGTCCCTTTCCCACAAAGGTGGCCTTAGAGAAGTCTCGAGGGAGAGTTTCCCATGTAACCCTTCCAATGATTCGTTTAAAATTGGACCACTGTATTGTTGTTGCTGCTGTTCCACCCAAGTCCTTCTGCTCTGACTACCCACCTCATATCCCGGTGCTAACATTTGATTAGAGTCCATAACTGTGTCCCCTTCCAGTATACGGTGCTGCTGTTCCACCCAAGTCCTGCTCCGACTACCCACCTCATACCCAGGTGCTGACATTTGATTTGAGTCCATAACTGTGTCCCCTTCCAGTATACGGAGCACCTGTTACCCCAAAAAATGTGAAACAAATCAGCAGAAGCCCTGCCAGAATGAAGACATCTGACCCACAAAGATGAAGGCAGGTATTTTATACTCCTATGCTGGGAACCTGCTTCATGAGAAACTTAAATGAACTTTTAGCACTTTAGTAATGTTATTCTATTTTTTTGCATTTCATTCCACTTTTTTTTTTTTTTTTTTTTGTTAAGTATTTTTCATTCCACTTTCTAAAACAAAGGAAGACCATGTGATGTCCTCAGGGAAAATGCTTAAGATATATCTCCAGAAATCAGAACAATAAAAAATAAGACAAAATCTTGGCTCAAAACCATTTGAACAGATTATAAAGCTTACACTGAAGCGTGTAAACTGCCAGTGAGAGACATTAAAAAAAATAAATTCAACTTCTTATGTATATATATGTAATCTCTTACTTGTGACATGCGAGGCCTTAAATGAGGATCCCGTCGAATGCACAAGGATCCAGCGTGTAGCATGCAATTGACTTCATGTTCATCATAGTTGTTTCCTAGCCGTGGATCAACCAGTTCGTCAATGGCATATTGTTCAAGTAGTGGACGTGCCTATTCCAAATCAAAGGCATAAATATCAAGGAGAAGGAAGAATCTACCGTGGAGGACCAAGCATATAATTTAGTTTAATTTTTATCTATTTGCTTCAGCAAGTGACATCACTTCCCAACAATACCATACCGACACTTATACACCGACTTCTGTGCATATATGTATTTGATGCTACGTGGCAAGCCTCAGTGGCACCACGTCACCTCCACATCAATAAATGGATTTCCAAGTGGCAAGCATCAGTGGTGTCACATCATAAGCATCTGAGGAGTGTGTTGAGCCTAAGTAGAAACATGTGGATTAACTCCACACTAATGGGCCTAGCCATCTAACTGTAACCGCACTTGGTGCTTTAGACTTGAACCATGGCTCCAAGGGACAAGGGCAACACCCCTTGTTTAGACCAATGACTCTCCACTCAGGCAAGGCATAGGGCACACCGAGATATCTCCATGGTGAGTCCACAACACTCCTTGGCTAGGCCAATGAACTCCGGCTTGGACATTGCCCCTTGACTTGGTAGAGGCATGATTCGGTACCCCTCAGCTTGGCCAAGTGATTCTTGGCGAGGGCATGACCCACTTATGACTCAGTCCCTCTTCAAAGGATATCTCCAGAAGCGCTCATGCTTCGGCCAAACAGAATTCTCCACCTTGAGCCAAACATCTCTTCATACTTGGTTTTTTAAATGACACATTGTGCTATTATGCCTAACTAGGCTGGGAACAAGGCCTAGGGACCACCTCAGGATTGGTGCCACAACATGGGGTACTTGAGAGACCACATATCCCTCACCCAAAATCATCTGTGACTAGCGGATTGACAACTAGGGCAAAGAGATTGTCAAAGTTGTTTGGTTCACCCCCCTTAGTGTGGCTACACCTTTACCCGTCTTAGACAATAGAGTATTTTCTCGTACCTGGTGTGCGGAGAAGTTATCTGTTAAGTCCAACCTACCATGTGGTTGCGGAGAAGTTGTCTGTTAAGTCCAACCTACCACGTGGTTGTGTGCCTACGTTATAGGAAGAGGACATATAAGCAGTGTCTAAAACATAGCAGAAAAAATAGGAAAAAAGTACTCACATGACACTATACAATTGCAAGGGCACACCACGTAAGATATAGGCCGGACCACCTAGATAATTTCTGTAGTGAGCACCTATCACATACCTCTATCAATATTCGATTCGTTACCCCTCAGCTTGGCCAAGTGATTCTTGGCGAGGGCATGACCCACTTATGACTCAGTCCCTCTTCAAAGGATATCTCCAGAAGCGCTCATGCTTCGGCCAAACAGAATTCTCCACCTTGAGCCAAACATCTCTTCATACTTGGTTTTTTAAATGACACATTGTGCTATTATGCCTAACTAGGCTGGGAACAAGGCCTAGGGACCACCTCAGGATTGGTGCCACAACATGGGGTACTTGAGAGACCACGGGTGTGTTTGGTTTGTGTTTGTAGAGTAGTTTTTGAGATAAAAAGTACGAAAACTTGTTTGGTTTGCCTTTTTTTAGAAATGGTTTTCGAAAATTGTTTTGGGGAGAGAGTTTTAAAAAAAGTGATTGATTTGATGTGTATGAGAGAGTGTGATTTTAGAAAGTATGTAACCAAACAAAATTTTTAGATTTTTTTTGAAAAAATTTGTTTGATTTGATTACTCTTGAAAATTTGTTTGTAGAGAATTTTTCCCAAAAATTTTTCTGAAAAACAAACCAAACAAGGCCACATATCCCTCACCCAAAATCATTTGTGACTAGCGGATTGACAACTAGGGCTAAGAGATTGTTAAAGTTGCTTGGTTCACCCCCCTTAGTGTGGCTCCACCTTTACCCGTCTTAGACAATAGAGTATTTTCTCGTACCTGGTGTGCGGAGAAGTTATCTGTCAAGTCCAACCTACCATGTGGTTGCGGAGAAGTTATCTGTTAAGTCCAACCTACCACGTGGTTGTGTGCCTACCTTATAGGAAGAGGACATATAAGCACTGTCTAAAACATAGCAGAAAAAATAGGAAAAAAGTACTCACATGACACTATACAATTGCAAGGGCACACCACGTAAGATATAGGCCGACCACCAAGATAATTTCTGTAGTGAGCACCTATCACATACCTCTATCAATATTCGACATTCTATTTTTTGGAGACTTGTATGGGATTCTATATCCCCATGTCTCCGGGCTTACCTATAAAGGAGGCCTATTCCCTCCATATACAACTATGGGCAACTATCAAAGTTAATATGGATTTGCATAATCTCCCTAGGCTCCCTCTGATTGACACAGCTTTCTCCCTTCACTGCCACACACACACACTCTCTCTTCCAAACCCAATCTCTCTCCCCCCCCCCAAAGGATACCTCATCTCTCTCCACTTCTAGTTATTCCATCATCATCTCAGTGCCTACTATAATTCCCAGCAGGCCCACGGTCTACCCACATCACCAATGATTGTTCGCAACTTTAATGGGTAATAATTGGTCAATACACAGAATTTCATCTAAAACACACCCATTCAGTGAGGCACTGCTGACCCTTCGGCCGGTTAAGATCCACAGCTTTTCTTCCAGTAACAAGCTCCACCAAAACCACCCCAAACGAATAAACATCAGCTTTCTCCGTGATCTGGCCACTTTGAGCATATTCTGGAGCCAAATACCTACATTGAAGCATAATAATTTTATTTGATTTCATAACTCCACTGATGGTCTGGGAGAAAATTAAAGCTATATCTCAAGACATACCCAAAAGTTCCAATTACCCTTGTTTCCACTCCAGTGTCTCCATCGGGTTGCCATCTCGCCAAGCCAAAGTCTCCTACCTAGCAAATGAAGAATGGGGTAAGATTCCACTATTTTAAAACCAGTCTCATGGATGTGCATCTTCAATCATGGCATAAACAAATCAGAACATTAAAACTAATAAAATCAGAATAGGGTAATTGAGTTTATGAAGAGATTAAAATATTATGACCACAAATATATCTACTGTGTCAAAAGTTACATTCTTCAATGTCACGGCAATTGACTATTAAGGATAACACGTACTGGATTCTGAAGAATTGCATAGAGTGAGTCAACAATTTATCCAAACATTACATCTTCATCAGACAACTTGAAATACTAACATCTTGATTCCTGATTCTTTGATCAATAGTAGAGACTATAATATAAGATCTTGATTCCTCATTCACAATGTTCTGACCTCTGTGAAGTTCTTCTATGAAATGGAGGTGTGCTTTTGTAGAATTCATTTAATAGGACATTAAAGGTCTACATTTTTCATATGGCTTTATTTTGTATGCAACTATGCATAATAGTGCATGAGTTGTGCCTGCTTTAGGTGTTATTTATTTATATAGCAATTTTTTTATCAGCTTATTTATATAGCAATTAACATAAACAAATATGTAAATAAAAGAGATAATAAATTTTCATACTAATGGCTCGAAATCATGGGTGATGAGGATGTTGTTGGGCCGCATGTCTCGGTGGACAATGCATCCCACTCTGCATTCTTCATGAAGATATCGCAGCCCTCGAGCAGCTCCCACCGCAATTTTTTGACGTGCAGACCATTCTAATGGATCTTGATGACGACCTGAAAACAGCAAAATCCTATATTAAGTTTAGTTACAATTACAAGGAAAGGGTAAATGAGCTTAAACTCTGAAAGATGAGATTGAAGGACCTGTAAAGAATTTTACAGAGTAGTAAATGAGCTTAAACTCAGTCCTAGTTCCAAATTTGGTCAGTTAATGCAACAAGAATTTTACATTTATATCTGCCAAAAAATCCTTACACCCGAGTCATAACTGTAGACATGGTTCATTTAATGGATAGGGCAGATCACATTTCATATGGACACAACCAAACTAAACAGAGTAAGACTAGAACGCTTCCAATAATGAGCACGTGTGACATCACATATGCCAAGGCTTTAATATAAATACAAGTTTACGAAAGAAATCCTGCAGGCAAGGGTTTTTTTTTTCTTTTTCTCACAATGGTGTTCCATTGCATTGACTACATATTTGTATAAATAGAGTGGATTTGCATTGTTATAGCATAAAATACTCCAAAATAGGGGGAAAGGCAAATTACCATATATATGAGAATCTAGTGACCCGTTGCATATATATTCGTAAACCAGCAATCTTCTACTGTTCTCAATACAAAATCCAATTAACATAACAACATTTCGGTGCTGAGCACAACTGAGGACTTCCACTTCTGAGCAAAACTCTTGATCACCCTGAGAACTTGCCAATTTATGTTGCTTGACAGCTACTGCCTGACCATCTGGCAGGACACCTCTGTGGACGGATCCAAAACCTCCTTCCGCCAAAAAATTAGCTTGTGAAAATCCTCCAGTAGCAAGCTCCAGCTCAGCATAGGTGAACCACCTTGGGGGTTTTCCAAACACAGGTGCCTTGTGTTGACATATTGAACACAGAGGAGGGGGCCCAAGAGGTGCATTTCTGGATAGAGAAATTGCTTCTCTCACATTTCCACTGTAGTCTAGATCAGATCTGTAATTTGGTAATCCAAATCCAGCTTCTCGATCAAGTTTAGAGAATTTCTCTAACAAAGCCTTGGTTGCCAATGTATGAGGACTTGCATTGGATCTTTGTGAGCTTTCTTCCAGGTGTTGTGACGATTGATGATGAGAATTGAGAACTTCTGTCATCCATGGTTGGAATCTTAAACTTGATGAAGATGAAGATAAGTTTCCACTGTCTGTATCTGAACTTGATTCATCAATATCAGGAGTTTCCTTTGTGCCTAATGGTTCCTCTTTCTTCAAGTCCCTATTAATTTCGGAAATGAAAAATGGTGAGGTTCCAGGATCTGAGCTCGATACTGATGAAGTTCCAGCTTCAGTTGCAGTAAATAGCTCCGGACTGCTAGTTGGAGTCACGACAGGTCCTCGAACGGATTCCATAGCATCAGTCTTGTTTCTAGATTGTTTCTCAGATGATTGATCTATCTCAGATGGTAATGAACACACTGCTTCAGCATCCTTATTGGGTGACCCAACCAAGTTTAGACGCAGAACCTTTGGCTGGGAGCGCTTCATAACCACAATGTTGCATTGTAGCTCTTCCATACAGCGCTTTTCTTCATGCTTGAGCTGTCTGCAATGAATGCAAACATAGATCACTCATGGAAAGAACATGAATGCCAAATCAAAGATCAGCAAATAAGAGCTAATAATTTACTAAAGAAATTGAAAACACAAATTAATGGAATTGAAAACCCCCATCACTAAACAATCTTATACAAGTAAATTGCGTGCCTCAAAACTAAAATTATTACTTGTCCAGTACAACCCAATTAGCTCGAGCTCTCTTGGCCTCCGCAGCTACTGCCCCACATGGCGATCCAGAAACAATTTTTATCTTCACATTAATCTATAAAAGTGTCAAAGTATATATCACATGTTAGAAGTCATGATTTGTGTATAATAACACCAAACATCAAAACACAAATACAGGCACTGACTTTGTTGGGATCATAAACATCGTGGAGCTGAAGGATCATCTGGGAGCAGAAATCTGTGATATCGGATTTCTGCTCTAAACTTGTTCCTGTATGAGACCTTCGGTGGCCACTGGCACAGTCTCCTGCAAATCTAGGGAAATTCCATAATTTCCTACCTGAATAATAGGGGAATAAGAAAATAATGGTCAGTACTATAAAATTGGAAAGACATGTAATATGCAAAGGAGACTTGCCTTACTAAGTTACATCATAGTTGTAGTGTAACTTGGTAATATACAATTGCCAAACATATTCAAACCCCAACACAAAGCCAAGGTCCCAAAACTCCCAAGTAAGAAACAAGACAACTACAGCCCATTTTCTTGTTACTGAAAAAGTTATATAATAGGCGAATCTGTTGATAACACATTTAAGTATAAAAGAACTGAAAGCGAGTTTGACAAATTTAAGTAAATAGCCAATTTCATCAAGCTGCACAAGAAGTACCAAAGAGAAATGCTGAAATAATCAAGAGAAGCACACTTGCATTTCCATGCCTGGTTAAATTTTGATTCCGTGCAACAAGAATGAACAATCAAAATAAAAATATTCCTATTAATGCATCATGAGACAAAAAAATAACCATATCAAATTAAAATTTGACAGCCATAAAGGAAAAAAATGAAAAAAAAAATGAAAAAATCTAGCATTGATTAGATAACCAAATTAGTGGAAGAGATCATGAAGAACTTTCTTAAAATTGAAGAAAAGTATTTACTAGGTAAGTAGTTGGATATACTCTTTAGTCCATACAACCATGAAAAGGTTGCCGAACATGTTAATCATTTACAAAAAAATAATAAATGAAAATTACATCATCTAGCAAAAAGAAAGATTTATTGTAGGCATCAAACCCAAAATGAATTAGTTATGGTTGGATGGACCTTTATGCTGTGTTTGGTTGGGAAATTTGGAGAGGGATTTGAAAAAGGAAAGGGAAAGGGAAAAGATGTGTAAAATTAAGTGAAATATAGACATATTTTATTCACATTTCACCTATCTTTTCCATTTCTCTTTCCAAATCTCTCCCCAAACATTCCAACCAAACATAACATTAGACAATATGAACCAAGTTTGGAGATGTGAGACAAATCTCTAACACTGGTAAGTTCAAATCTACAGGAAGTACCCATGCTATTTGATCATGAAATGCAAAAACTTCTGTGCCCCTTGCCAATAAGAAAGAAATCATTACAGAAAGAAAACTAATGAATATAGCACAACTTAAGCATAAAGAATAATGAATTTACAGGGCAGAGAAAGGTACCCGAACTTTGAGAAGCTAGCACAACTAGCAGTGTGATACAATCCCCAGGCTGAACAACATGAGTCAAAGCCCAAATCAGAGCAGTCTTGGGGATTTCCTTCGATGCCTTAACAGCAACAATAACTACCTTTTCATTGACAACCAAGTCCCTTTCTCGCTTCCCTCGCTTCAATTCCCGATTCATTATCCCAGAAAACAATAATGTTATGTTATCCACACTCCCTTCTCTCTCACTCTCAGCAGATCCAATCCTCCTAACCCATCACACACAATTACATGATTTCATAAGAACAAAACCCAGAAAACCAAAAAACCAAAAAAAAAAACATACATGATTATTTGAATTATTGCATACAATGGCCCATCCACCACCAAAGCTATAAATCTCCTGTATGTATGTATAGCTGACAGTCTCACTTTAATCAACAGTGTACAAGACAGTTTTTACCAACACCACTTCAAACCATTTTTTTATTTTAAAAAAAAAATTCAAATAAATAAAAGCTTTATTCTAACAAAAGTGGTCCTCTGAAATAAAAGATAACCCATAAAAAGTAGTCAATTCAATTTAATTCATTGTCCTAGTAGAGATAATTTTTTTTTTTTTATATATATATAAAAATTTTGCAATGAATATTCGAAAAATAGCCAGATTAGAGTGGATCTGCAGAAACTTGGATTGAGAGAAGCAGATGAATCCAAAAGCAATGAACCACTGGGGGTGGTGGCCCAGTGGAGAAAGCAACTCGTCTTTACGGGCATGATCCAGGGTCGAATCGTGTGGAGTGTGGAAGTGTACTCTTTGAAACCTCTTCTCTACTTCGATTCGAATCCTCGACGGCCTATGACGTATAATTGAACTCTACTAGTGCTTTGGCAGTGAGTCCCTCTCACATGATGGGAATTAATTTTTGACTGACAACCGATTATTCCGGAGTCAAGCCCACGGAGCCGTGATTACACCGCAGACAATTTTTTTCTTGTTTAAAAAAAAAAAAAAAAACAATGAAAGCGTTATCTGTGGTAATGATTTCGAACATGCATCAAAACACTGTTGGGCACATGATGTACTACTGCAACACAAACGAAACGAAACGAAACGACACGACACAACACAACACACAAAAAAAAGTCTGACCTCAAAAGCGCTAGTTTTTATGTCCTTTCAAATCAGATAGTCAAACGGTGAAAGGGCCAGGTTTATGAGCTGCTTTCCAGATCCAAAAACAACACACCCACTTTCTCTCTCACTATATTGAGAGTGGACCATAAGGAAAAGTCGAGCTCAGATTCCCAAACTTCATGCCTCACCACCACAATGTTAAAGCAGCCAAAAAAATTGTAAAACCTCAAATTCAAGCTAAAATTCTCAAAATCAAAGTCCGCAGCTGAAAAACCTGAGGATTGAAAATGAAGCAGAATCATCCAAACACAGCATTCAAACATATAGATAGATACATACACACATATGCATATGTATATAGAAATATAATATTATAGCTTACTACAACTAGTGCATTGAAGAAAGTTGATTTTGATGAAAAAAGCGTTGTTGGAGTTATCGATCTCTTTATCTGTGTTTATTGTTGTTGTGCTTTCACATCAAAGCAGCGAAAACACACGCCAAAGATATACAGACAGGAAGGAAATTAAATAGGAGAGAGAAAGATAATGAGAGAGAGAGAGTGCGCGACAGTGAGAGCGACAGCGCCAAAACTGTTAAATAAACAAGTATTAGGGGTTTTAATTCAACTACCTCACCGTCCGACCCATTTAAATTTGATTTATTTAGGGGATGTTTGATAATCTTTTCGTTGTTGGTTTTTTTTTTTCGAAGTATCAAAAAAAACAAAAGATAATCCTTTCGTTTTTAATTTTTAATTTATATTTATAAAAATTTTAAGAATAATTATAAAAATTTATTTGATAATTTTTTTAGTTTATAAATAATTGTCTTAATTTATAAATTTGAAAAAAAAATGTAAACTCAAAAAATGAGTTTACGTTGGTTTTAAATAGAAATTTAAAAATTTGACTAACAAATTTTTTTTTCAAATAATTTTTTATTTAAATTAAGTTTTTTCTTCAAATAATTTTTTTCAATTATTTTTTTCAAATAATTTTTTTTAATCAATTTTTTTCAATTATAATGTGTATGATCTCATTGTCATAAATAATAAAATATAAATATAAATATTTTAGGCCTGAACAAATATATTTTTTAGTTTATATTTTTAAAAAATTTCTAACATTTTGTTCAATCCAAATGCATTTGTAGTTTATGTTTGTCTAAAAATAAATAAAAATCAATTTATAACAATTTTGTAAACATAAATAAAAAATGTAAACGTTACCAAACGTTACCTGGCAACCTTTAATTTTTTAAAAAAATTTCACCTCTTTTTCCTTTGTTTTGCTGGGATAAAATTTGGGAAGATTTATTATTAAGTAGATTTATTATCTAATAATTTTTATGATAATTAATGGTATTTTAATTATATATTATTAAGGTTATGTTTGGGAAGTAACTTTGGACTAAAATAATTATATAAGATAAAATTCACTATTTTAGTCAAATAGAATAAAATGTCATATTTAACTCATAATTATTTTATTTTTTCTTTCAAAAAAGTCTAAAAAGTCAAAAAGCTTATTTCAAACGAGACTTTTTAGCCTCAGGCGGCCTCGTTTAGGAACAAGTTTTTTTTTATAACTCATTGACTTTTTGGCTAAAATACGATATAAAAAAACTAGTATGTTTGGGATAATTTTTTAATTTTTTACAAAAATATGTGTAAAAAGTAGAGAGAAAATTTTTTTTGACTTTTTGGTATAAGTTCTTTGTTTTTTTTTATTTTTTTGGGGACTTTTTGGTTTTTAGACTAATATAATTGTTTTTTTGGTGACTTTTGGGTTTTTAGACTAAAAAGTGATATTGCCAAATGAGTCAAAAAATAAAAAAGCCAACCCACGAAAAAATTATTACTAATTGTTAATTCTTAGTAATAATTTGAAAATTTTGTTACAAAAATATCATTAATTATAAGTTTTAGCAACAGTTTAAAAAAAATGATACAAAAAAATTCAGCCTCCGTTTGGGAAGTGGGTTGGCTTTTTGGCTTTTTGGCTTTTTTGGCTATTTTAGCCTGGGCTAAAAAGCTTGGTTTGGGAAGGGCTTTTTGATTTTTTTGACTTTTTTTGTGAGAGAAGAGTATAATGATTATGAGATGGATGTGATGTTTTATTTTTTGTGACTAAAATAGCCTATTTTGTCTTTTGTGGCTAAAATAGCCAAAAAAACCCCAAATAGCTCTTCCCAAATGGAGAAATTTGCCAAACTTAGTGCTTTTGTTTTGCTGAATTTGTTTTCGTACTCGCTGGAAAATACCCAACACCAGTACCAGCATCACAAAGGAGAATATCCAGTAGACAGGTCAAAAAAATCAACTCATCTGAAGATGAACAGACGTAGGGTATTTTGGTCGAAGAAATTGATAAAATGCACAGGTATTTTGGTTAGGGACTTGAGGCAGTATTACATTTTTTAATGTCCTTTATGCAGAAAATTGTTATTATTAGGGAGCTTAAAAAAAAAACCCCATTTTAATAAGACTTAATAAAAATTAAATCTAATTATTAAGACCTATTGACAGTATACCTTAAAATTTAGTGTTACAATGATACTAATTACGTTGTATCATTAATAAATAATAAAGGGAAATTGTGGGATAGTGATATAATTAAAAAAAATTATTATACAATAATGTAATAGTTTATAATTTTAATGATTAATATATATAAAAATTGTCACTTACTTTTTTTAAATTTTAAAATCTACCATCAATATATATTTTTACCAAAATTCCTTCTAAAATTTAGTATTTACAAAAATTCCACTTAATCTAAATTACCCATAAACAAAGCCTAATACAATTATACATACTAAAAGTACTTTACCAATTAATATATTTATTTAAGTTATATTTTTGTATCACGAAAGGTTAAAATTAACAGAACAATATTTCTTTTTTTGTGTTATAATTTATAATTATTATTTATATTTATTTAATTTTTATTTTTATAGCTTGATAGAGTTAAAATTATTATATGTGTTGATTTAAAACACTTTTATAAAATGATAGGACTAATATTATCAAAATAAATAAAAATATTTTTTACCTTTTAACTTTTTTTTCCCTCCCTTTTATGTAGTGCATCTCTCTTTTTTTCATTTTTCAATTTTTTTTTATATATTAAAATTCCAGATCAATACCCTTACCAAAATTCTTTCTAACATTCAATAATTAAAAGATTTTTACTTAATCTAATTAAACATAAACAAAACTTAATAGAATCATACATACTAAAAATAGTTTACCAATTAATTTTAGGGGGATGCACCAATAAATCCCAAATTTGTATCTTGTAACCCATTTGGTCCTATGAATTTTCTTATGAACCGTTAGGTCCTATCCCAATGTTAATGACCATTAAACATCAAACATCATCATCGTCAAAACAACAACATCATCATCAAAACAACATCAAACATCACAACATCATTATCAAAACAACATTAAACATCACAACATCATCATCAACATCAAACATTATTATCATCAAACATCATCAACATCAGATTTATTTTCAAAAAAATTAAAATTATTGCTCGAGAACCATCATCAAATTCATTATAACATCAAATCCATCAGATTAAAAGAGAGAAACAGTGTAATTTTTAAAAAGTGAACAAAAATGGAAGGAAATGCAAAACATATTATACACAAGAAATTGAACTACTTCACAATCTTTAAAGATACAAAAATCTATGAGGAATAATACCCATAAAACATATCTCTAGAGAGAGAGAGGGGGAGGCAATAATAATAAAATACCCTTGGGGATAAACATTGCCATAGATTGCGAGAACAACAGAGGACCCAACTGGGTTGACGACCGACGAAGAAAACATTGATTTCCACCACGACTTCTTGTTACTGATTTTCATAACCTGATCCTGATGTTGATGTTGACGAAGGAGATGAAACAGAGACACCCAAAAGCATAGCTACTACTACCATCACCAACATAACCACCCCGCCGCCTAGGGTTTTACGATCTGAGAGAGAGATGGGCAATGGTTCTGTCTGAGAGAGAGAGGGGCAACGACCCTACCCTCGCCTTTGTCTGGACCCACATCGCCGCCGTACAAATGAACCACCACCACCGCGGCCGTATCGACGCTGCCAACAACCTCCTTCCCTTGCCCGAGACAACGATTTGAAGAAGAAGATGATCGTCGTAGAAGAAGAATCATGGATCTGTCTGTTGGGGGTTTAGACTGGTTCCCAACTCTCTAGGATAACAATGAAGTAGAGAATGGAGGGAGACGTTCACAACGTGTGTGTTTTTGAAGTGGAAGTGTGTACTATAGGAAATATGGAAGATTGAAGATTGTGGGTGGGGTGTGTGCGTGAATAAGAGTAAAGATGGAAGATTGTGGGTGAGGTGTGTGAGTAAAGGTAAAGATGGAAGATTGTGGTGTGTATTGAGCAAATTTTTTATTTATCAAATGCTAAAGGTATGCCTTGAGTAGTGGTGTGCCTTGGGATGAAAGGTAATGTGTAAATAGAGGCACCCATAGACAGCGTATTTTAGAGTGTGGATCTTTGGACAAAGAAAATTTAAAATTGGATTTATGGTCTGAGTGACCTTAATTTTATTCTTCTTTTTTCACTTTTTTTTAAAAATTAAATATCAAAAATATTTATTTTTATGAAATATATATATATGTAAGTTACATTTTTATAACACAATAGAGCTAAAATTATTAAAAAATATATAAATAATTTATTTAAAATTAGTATATGTATTGATTTAAGTAACGCTTTTATGGAACGATACAACTAAAATTATTAAAATAAATAATTAGAATCATTATTTAAAATTTAAATTATTGCTTCTTTTTTCTCCAATTTAACGATTATTTTAAATATTTTATATATTCAAAAATATAAAT